GATAAAATGATTTAAAAAAAATTTTTTTTTCAGTGTAACTTCCAGGCTCAGATGGTCTAGGGAGAAAGGCCTGGCAACCAGCTTCCAAAATCAGCCAGTGGAAGCCCTCCGAGTCACAGTGATCTGATCTGCACACGATGAGGGGTGGCACAGGCCTGGGGCTCGCCGCTACAAGTTGGAGGCTTGGTGGCAGCCATGGAGGCCCCTGTATTCCTTGGCTTGTGGCCCCTTTCTTCCCCTTCTCAGCCAGCACACGCCCTTCCTCCATTCCCTCTGCCTCTACCCCGACATCGCCTCCTCTCAACCCTGCTGTGACATGGGCTCCTTGGATAATGCTGTGCCCTTGCTCCATCTCCAGGGGTCGACTGCCAAGTCCCCTTTCCCAGGTGGGGTGATAGATACCACCTCGGGAGGAGGCATGATCACAGGTTCTGGGGACTAGGAGGTGGACATCTCTGCCTCCTGTGATGGTCATGGCTAATTTAGAGGCAGGACAATGCTGTCCAGCGACGGCTGGGATGCAGGGGTAGACACTGCAGGACCCCCGGTTTGGTGAGCAGAAGTCAGGTAGGGGGCATGACTCAGGCAGAGGGCTGCAGGGAGGGCTGGGCTTTGTGGCTGGCTAGAGACTAGGACACGGAAAGAAACTGAGGGGGCCGGACACTGGCAGAGGTTGGCGCAGCCCAAGCCGTGCTGTCCGTCCAAGGGAAGGTTGATCCTCAGGCCTAGATCCTGAGAGGAGGGACGCTGCTCAGAAGACAATGATTCTGTCATTGGGGCGGGGCGGTGAGGATGGGTTATCCTGTGCATTGTGGGAATGATCGTGTCCTTGCTGTGGCCCACAAAGCCGATGGAAGCAGAATGCCCTGGTTTGGTGGGGGTGAGGCCCAGGACCACCACAGTGTGGTGAGCCTCCGGAGGGGCTGGGACCACCCCTTGCTCCCATGAGTGCCATCCCTGCCTGAGGGCACGGCAGCTGCAGGAAGTCCTCTGAGGGCTGATCAGAGTTACCTGATCAGAGTTACCAATAAAAATTGGCGCCTTCGGGGTACCAGGGACTGACGTGTACGGAGGAGGGTTCGGAGCTCATCAGACCCATTCTACGGAATAAGCAACAGAGGCCGGGGACGTGCAAGATCACACAGCGAGGAAGTAGTACAGCCAGGTTGTGAGAACCAACCATGCACTTGACCACTCTGGACAGGCCTGCTCCCCAGCCAGCCTGGGCCCTTGGCAGAGGTGCTCATGGCCAGCCCGTTGCTGGCCCTGGAGGCACTGAGAGATCCGCACACAATGAGCCTTTCTCCACACTCTCCCGCTTCCCCTCCCTCCCTGCCTCCTGAGCCTCAGGCTTTCCAGTTTCCAACAGATTATAAAAGTAGTACATTTTCTTTGAAGAGCAACAATATGTAAAGCACGCCTAATCCTGCCCCTCCCCCCCACAACTAAGCTCTGCTATGACCCCCACCTTTTTTCTCACCCCTGTCTGCCTACAGGAGTGACGTGTGTGTGCGTGTGTGCGTGTGTATGTGTGTGTGTATCCGTGTCCCTGTCCCTGTCCCTTTAACGCCCAGGTCCCGGCGGTGGCTGGCCAGGCCACCCTTGCTGGCACTCCGGAGGCTTCCAGACCTCGAGAGAGGCATGCATTCCTGGGCGCTGCCCCACTCCCAACCAGCTTGGCCGGAGCGCAGGAGCATAAAATTGGAATCGGCTGGAGGACGGGAAGGGAGGACAGGCGGCTTTCCTGCGTTTTACGACCAGATGTGCCGGCCCCGCAGCCTCCCAGCCCTTGTGCGGAAGCTTCCCGTGTGGCCCCCGGTGACCCCTCCCCCGGGAGACGCGGTGGCGGTGGCTGGTCTTTCCGCCTTGCTGCCGGGCAGCCGCAGCCGGGTGACCGATGCTGCCATTGGATTTGTCCAGAGTCTTCCCTTCGAAGGATGCGTGCCCTTGTTCATTCATTCACACCTTCATCCCAGTCCTCGGCTGTGCTTGCCTCCAACGTCCAGCTGAGCCCATGCAAGCTGTCCAGCGAGCCTCCGGGACCGAGGGAGGCTCTCCAGGGGCAGGCTGGGGAGACCCTGTTTTAAGCGCAGATAACAAGCACCTTCAACCTTCGGTTTTCTTTTTCAACTTTTGTTTTTCAGTCACCCCACCCCCCCGAATTATTTCCTAAATGCCACTGTGGCACCCCAAGTTTCTTTGAAAACACATGGTCCCTGCCAGGGGTGAAATGCTGTAGCAGGCCGTGAGAAATCTAAGCGAGGGCCTTGCAGATGAGGGACCTGGCCAGTTGGTGGCCAGGGGCGTGGCAGCTGTGCCCAGCTGAGTGGCCATGAGCTGCGTCTCTGAGGAGGAGGCCTGAGAGACAGAGGAGCCTATTGGTCGGAGCGGAGAGGAGGGTGCAGCCAGCATGGGGGTGGTTACTGGGACGTGCCTGAGGGGGAGAGACTGGTGGGGTGGGGTGGGGTGGGAGTGAGGGTGGGCAGGGGTTTGCTTCCAGGGGGGAGGGAGGGGCTTTTTGCTGGTGCCCAGCTCTGAGACATCCTCCTTCCTTTTCCAACATGACAAAGCTTCTTTGATTTTCCTTGGGAGAGAGAAGGCCCCATGGGGGAAGGGACTTATCCAGGAAGGTACCGTTGTCACCGGTTTGGGTGGCCTCATCAGAGGACTTAAGGAGTCCTGGTAGCGCATTAGGCTAAGCATTGGGCTGCCTACTATAGGGTTGGTGGTTCAAGCCCACCAACCATTCTCTGGGGGAAAGTTAAGATTGTCTGCTCCTTGGAGATGGGCAGGCTCGAAATCCACGGAGGGTTAGTTCTACGCTGACCCCTAAGGGTGCTCTGAATTGGGATCCATTTCATTGCAATGGGTTGGGTTGGCACACACACACCACATACATGCACCCCACCTCCCCACAGGCATGTGTGCACACTCACAGAAACACAGAGCAGGTCCCGGATGTAGTGAGAGGTCACCAACAGGTGAGCCGAGACCCACAGCCCACAGCTGAACACCACAGGGTCTGCATGGAATTGTTATTTTTAATTTGGATTCATCGTTAACACTGTCTTTGTCTTCTTAATTAGATTTTAATATAAAACCTGAATTTCCTTTTTTTCCCCTTGAAAAAAGATTGACTAACATCTCTTGAATGTAGCAAGGCTGGTATTGTTACATCCTTGCCACTGCCTGCCCCCAACCCCGCCCCCGCCAGTTTCACAAATGAGGAAACTGAGGCTGGTGGAGATTAACGACAGCAGACATGTACCATGTGGCTGGATTTAGATCCTGGGGCAGCGTCTGATGCCAGACTTCTCTCTCTGTACTTGCGGGTTCTGTGCTGGAGGGCGGCGGCCCTGGCTTCAGGGAGCTGCCGCCCCTCCACTGACTCATGGTCTGCTTCCTGGAGAGTGTCTTGCCTAAAGCGAGTGCTTTGAGAAGGAGCCCTGGCACCTGAGAGGTAACACCAGTTGGGCTGCTCATGGCAAGGTCAGCAGTTCAAAACCATCAGCGGCGCCTGGGCAGAAAGATGGGGCTTTTTACTCCGGGAAGGAGTTCTAGTGCACAGACTCAGTGGCAGTGACACACGACGAGGCAGAGCCGTGATGGCACTGCCTCAGTACTCGGCTGCTAAGCAAAAGGTTGGCTATTTGAGCTCAGCAGAAGGCCCGAGGCCTCCCCCTCTGTAAAGACGGCGACCATCAGCCGGTGGGCAGGCCTGCCCTGAGCTCCAAGCGGGCTCGGTTTTTGTTTTGATGTGCATCCATCAGTAAGGTGAGCGTTCTCCCAATGAATGAAACCCTATGAAAGTCCAGGTTTCCCCAAGAAGGGCTTTGAAATCGCGCGGTATAACTCATCACTTCTCTGAACCTCAGTTTTCTTCTCTGTGAAATTGAGGGTCCGGGCAGGGAGAAGGTGGGAGGCCACAGGAGTGACGTGGCTGGATCCCCACTGAGAGCTCCTGCCGGGGCCTCTGAAGGATCCCTTCAGCCAGGTGGAGCCTGGGGTCCCCGGGGGTCGGCTGGGATGGTATGAGGGAGGAGGCAGCAGGCAGTGATTAAGGCGCAGGGCACAGCCAGGAATACGCTCCGAGCCAGGCCCGTGTGGCTGCCCACTCTCCCCTCTCCCCCACCAGGCCTTCGTCAAGATGGTGGGCAACCACGTCTCCTTCCTGGAAGCCCACGTGCTGCAGGCTGAGCGGGACCACGCAACCATCCCTGGGGCACTGTGGTGGTGGCTGGCCTCCTCGGGGCTGCCCACCTTCAGGACCGTGAGTACTGGACCCTTTCCCACCCCAACCCCCTGTCCAGGCCCTAGAGTCGGGAGAGGAGCTCCAGAAGCCGAGTTCAAAGGGCACGGTTCATTTCTGCAGAGAGGAAGTCCTGCCTGTGCTCCCCCCCACCCCCCCACTGGCCAGAACAAGGAGGCTGGTGGTGGCGGTGGCGGTGGCGGTGGCGGTGGCGGTGGTGGTGGTGGTGGCGGCGGCTGGGAGGTCTCTGCCACCTCCTGTGTGCTTCTTGCCTGAACTCCCAAGCTTTGCCTGCTCAGGCCTTCGGTGGACATTTATGGAGTGCTTGCTCTGTGTGGACCAGACGGCTGGGCTTATCAGGGGAGCGGGCAGACCAGCCCTGCTCCCACCCTGTCCATGGGAACTAAGGATCATCCTCAGGGCCACCAGCCCCGTTTCAGCCAGGCCCTCCCTCCTGCGGCCCAGGCAACCTCCCGCAAAGGTGACCAGCCTGCTTGAGCCCCTGGTGGCCTATATACAAAGCCTTTCTCTCCCCACAGCCCTGCTGCACTTCTGGGGTCTCACCCCCATCTCCTGCCCCCCCAGAGGAAAGAATCGCTGTGTCCCTTTTACTGATGAAAGAGTGAGGCCAAGCTGTAGTGCAGACCTCCGCTGGTTGAGACACAGCCTGTCTTTCAGGATGTCTGTCTTTGGTCCACCCGTTCTCCCCTGGTTTTGCCCCTGGAGGGACATTGGACAATGTCTGCAGACCTTGCTCATCACAGCTGGACGTAGGGGTGATGGTGCTCCTGGTATCTAGTGGGTAGGGGCCAGGCCTGCTGTTTACCACCCTGCATTCAATGATGGTGATGGTGATGGTGGTGATAATGATGGTGGTGGTGGTGGTGGTGATGATGATGGTGATGATGATGGTGGTGGTGGTGGTGATGATGATGGTGATGATGATGGTGATGGTGATGGTCGTCATTGGTATCTCATTCTCTCAGCAGTCCTTTTTTTCTCTCTTAACTGGCTGTCCTAGTAGCCTTTAGTTGTTTTAAAAACTTTTATTGGCATGTAATTCACATATCATGCATTTCAATAGTTTACTCAGACACGATCCTGTGCCTGGCATGCACGCTGCCCCCATTTTACAGATGAAGGACAGAAGCCCAGGAGGTTTCTGGTGTCACGTGATTTCACACTGGCACACACTCTCCAATCCTTGCCACAACCTGTGATTCCACCTGGCCTGCTCCCTCCCCTGTCTGCCCCTGGATGTGTAACTTGCCTAAGGCCATTAACAGCTGCCCTATAGTCACCCCAGTCTCCACCAGGAATGCCTGTGGATCCTTCAGAGCTCATGTGCATGCCACCTCCTGTGAGAAGCCTTCTGGGATTACCTCCTCCGAAGATGAACATTATCTGTCTTCCAGCCACAATGAAGTTATGTAAGTGTGAGCTGCTTCCCATGGCCTCTCTCTCAGGCTCTGGTGACCATGTCTGCGTGACCAGGAGAGTACCTATGTCAGTTTTAGGAGCATCTTGGGGGAGGAAGGGCAGATTCCTGGTTGTCCATGGCCTGTAGCTTTTGTGCTGAGAGTGGAGCCTCACCTACTTGCTCCATAGTCCGTCCACCCAGTTGTCCCCATGGGCTTGATGACGAGTCCCATTTACAAAGGTGGAGATTGAACTTGGCTCATGAGAGAGAGAGAGAGGAAGGACAGACATTGAACTTGGCTCATGAGAAAGACAGAAGAAGGGTCTGCATTTGGAGTGGGGTTTGGAACCCAGGCCACCCTGCCCCCACTCCTGCTGTAGGACCCCACTGGGTGGTGCTGGGGCATGCTGGGACCTGCACCCTCGCAATCTCTGCCAGACTCCAGGCCAAGTGGGCTGTGGAGAGGCCTCCTCAGGCCTACCTGTGGCAACTTGTTCCAGGAAACAGTCGGGCTAGCGGTGGTGAGTCATTCCATGTTGAACTTGGCCGCTGGGAGGCTTTGTCTGTGGGAGGTAATGCCAGGGGGATGCACATGGCCGCCTGAATACAGGGGAATGGGGGCCACTAGGCTCCCCCTAGAATGTCCCTCGAGGCTTCCCCTGGGGCCTCCCTCCCAACAGCCCTCTCCGTGAAAGACGACCGACCTGGCCTCTACTTTACATCTGAGGAGACAGAGGCATTGAGGACATGAACTGCTAGTCCAAGGTCCCTTGTGTTTGGTGGAGCTCGGATCCAAGCTCATGACACCTGAGCCCAGAGGGGGCACTTGTCCTGATTTCACCCTTCTCTTCTCCCTGGAGGCCGCCCTCCCGAGCTGGGCCTCTGTGCTGTCTCAAGGCTGTGAGGGGAGGGACCATTCCGTTCCGTGGCCCCTGCCATCTCTGAGCTGTAATGCTTTTAAAGCAGAGCCACAGCAGGCCCTCCCGCAGTGCACCTGCCCTGCCTGGCCCAAGATACACCCAGCTCTGCTTAGGCCCGAGGTGCACCTGGCTCTCCTTGGGTCCACGGTGCACTTGGCTCTACCTGGCCGGAGATACGCCCACCTGCTTCTGCGTAGGCCTGCTGTGCACCTGGCTCTGACCAGCCAGCAGTGCACGGTGTGCTAGCTCTACTGGGGCCTCGGGGCTTCAAGCATCCAAGGGTTTAGAACTTGGGTTTCTCTGCTGCCTCCTTCCATGAACCCCCATCTTGCCAGAGGGATAGTCAGGGTGGAGCCTGGGGCCACAGAGCCCTGGCACTAGCTGCAGACAGGTGGGCCTTGTCATGTGGGTCCCGGCTGCTACTCTCACAACCCCATTTCATCTCCCTTCTCCCCTGGCCCCCCCTCCTCTCCATCCAGGATCCCCTGGAGTAGAGGTGGCTGGGGTGGGGGCGGGGCCCTTGGGCGCCTTACATGGCTGGCCCCAAGAATCCCTTTCACCAAAGGGCCTCTGCCCTTCCACCTGCCAGAGCCAGGGGGTGGGGGGCCCAGGAAGGAGAGGCCTCGGATTTCACCCCTGGAGCTGTGCAGGGGCCTCTTGGGGGACATCATGTCAGGCTGGTCTGTCACCTGGAGCCGGCGTTTTCTAGGAGAGCAAGCTCATCTATTTTGTTGTTGTTTTTAAACGTCCATCAGCCCTGCCTTCCCCTCCTCTCCTCAGGAAGTCCAATGCCTGTCCCCTACAACACCAGCCCCCAGGCCTGGCCCTGCCCTCTGCGGCCCAGGTGACAGGCCCTGAGGGTGCTGAGCAGCTGGTTGCGGGAGACCTGGGGCCATCGGGAGACCATCTCCTAATCGGATCCGCCTCTGACATTGAGCTCGGAGGCAGGCATGTTCCTGGGCACCCCAGGGGTCACTTGGTTCCCCCCTCAGCCCCTCTATGGTCTGGCCACCTTAGCAGGAGCCATGTAAGCGGAGACCTGAATGGTGAGGAAGAGTCCGGCTGAAGCCAGGGACGAAGAATGTCCCACCCAGTAGAGGCTCAGAACTGGGGACAAGGGGTGACCAAGTGGAGAGAGAGGGCTCAGGCAGAGGGGTGACAGGGCTGGGCTCTGCAGGACTTCCAGGCATATGGAGACGTCTGGACTCTAAGGACAGTAGGGAGCCCTAGAACAGCGGTGCTCAACCTGTGGGTCATGACCCCTTTGGGGGATGAACGACCCTTTCACAGGGGTCACCTGATTCATAACAGTAGCAAAATGACAGTGATGAAGTAGCAACGAAAATAATTTTGTGGTTGGGGGGTGACCACCACATGAGGAACTGTATTAAAGGGTCATGGCACTAGGAAGATTGAGAACCATTGCTCTAGAAGGTTTTAGAACGTGTGTGTGTGTGTGTGTGTGTGTGTGTGAGTCACATTGACTTCTTTTGGAAAATCGCCAGGGCCCATTCTCTACCCAAGAGCCCTGATGGAGTAGTGGGCTACGCATTGGGCTACTAGCTATAAGGTCAGGAGTTCGAACCAACTTGCCATACTGAGTCTGCTCCTGTCAAGAGGAAAAGCCTCAGAACTCTCAGGGGGCAGCACTCCTCTGTGCTGCCTCAGGGGTAGTGTGAGCAGTTGGGCATTTGGTCTGGGGCATCTTGTTGACTTGCACGGGCATGCTAGATGGGGCATGTGGGGGCCCTCCAAGCCATAGGATTCCACTGTGAGGGAGCCGACTCAGGTCCCCAAGCCCCTTGGGGCCCCTCACCTTGCTGGGCCCTGTGGCCCTAGAAAGAGATCCCAGGTAGGAGCCTCAGGTGTCTGGACAAGGGCCTGGGGTCTCAGAGGAGGAGGAGGAGGGGGAGGGTCTGGACAAGGAGCCGTCATATCTGGAAGTTGTCCTGGGCCCACGTGGGAAGGAATGTGTGATTTGGATGGAGCTGGCCACTCCTCCAGCCTTAGCA